CATGAGGAAAGGGGGCAAAAGTTGTCTAAGCTAGATGTTAGAGTGGAGCAGAGAGTGTCAGTAGCACTGTTTGTGTCCAGTGCTGAAAACTGAGAGGGTGAAGGAAGTGAGGATGAAACCATAGAGGATAGGCGAGAGGGAAAGAGTGAGCGTAGGTTACGCCAAAAGGTGACCTGTGGAGGAGTATGTGCTATGTCAGGAGTTAGTGTGAGGTTAGAAGTGATGAGGAAGTGGTCTAAGGTGTGTAATGGAGTAACTAAAGTGTTGTCAGTGCAATAGCGTGTGTAGACGAGGTCCAGTTGGTTACCTGATTTGTGAGTAGCCGTAGTAGACACTCGCTTGAGATCAAATGAGGCGAGCAGAGTGTTGAATTTAGCAGCCTGGGGTTTTTCTAGATGGATGTTGAAGTCACCGAGCAGTACCAGAGGAGTACCGTCCTCAGGAAAGTTTGATAGTATCACATCCAACTCCTCCAAGAAGCTACCCAGTTGACCTGGGGGACGATAAACGACATTTGTTTACAGCAGACTGGCAGCTCCAGAGACCAAATGGAATAGAGAGTAAAGTAGTAGAGGACATAGAGACAGGCTGTAGATTATTAGGATTGGCCTGCCTCCAACGTACAATGCGTGCTTTCCGAGTGTTAGTAGTAATAGTAGAGATTTGAAAGCACATAGTGAGTACAATTGTCTAAACAAGTATATGAGAACAAGGCTGCACAAAAAAGTAAAGAAAGGGGAGAAAAGCAATACTCAAGTGCCTTGTTGGTGTCCTTGCTCGGTGGAGTCGCGCAGGTAGAGTTAAGGGTCTTTACACTCGTCGGTCTTCACACGAGGAGGCTTCACACGAGGGCTGCCGTGGTGAACTAACTAATTTTATACTCGCCTGATTACTTGTAATTGAAGTCAGCTGGCCACACCTTACTACTTAGCAAACCGAAACTGGAAAGTCACGCGATATGCACGAGAACAAACGCGACTAGAGCACTTGTTTACTATGGTAAACACAGTAATCAAAACAATGTTTCCTAGCAACGACAACCGCGCTAAAATCTAATGAGAACAGAAAACAAAACCCTTACAAACTGCTGTCCTCTTCTGCTGCCCGACTGCTTCTTCTAACAAGTTTATTGAAGATTGTGAGGGACTTGGCTGTCCGGATGGAGTTTGGTAGGTAATTCCACCAACAGGATACAGTGAAAGAAAACATCCTTGAGAGTGATTTTGTGCCTCTCTGCAATAGGACCACGGAGCCGCTGCTCGTTTACCAACTGCAGGCTTCTGGAGGGGATGTCGACGCATAGGAGAGAGTGTAGGTAGGGGGTGCGCAGCCTATGGCAGTTCTGTAGGCAAGCACCAATGACTTGAACTTTATGGGAGCCGCGACTGGAAGCCAGTGCAGAGAGATGAGAAGCAGTGTGACATTAAAAACAAGATGTGCTGCTGCATTCTGAATCATTTGCAGAGGTCTGATTGCACATGTTGGAAGTCCAGCCAGAAAAGCATTGCTATAGTCCAGCCTAGAAATGACAAGGGCCTGGACAAGAAGCTGTTTTTGCAACATGATCTTTAAAGGTCAGCCAATCATCAAGGATCATCCCAGGATTCCTGGCTGAACTCAATGGGATTATTGTTGATAAGCCCAGTTGGATGGTAAACTGGTGCTGTAATGATGGGATGGCTGGGAAGATGAGAAGCTCTGTCTTTGCCAGGTGCTGTTCTTTCATCCTTGCTGAGATGTCCGTCAGGCAGTCTGAGATCCGAGCAGTTAGCCGTTGGATCATCTGATTGAAATAAAAGGTAGAGCTGTGTGTTATCAGCATAGCAGAGGTAGGAGAAACCATGTTCCTGAATGATGGATCCCAGTGATTTAGCATATATAGAGAAGAGGAGGGGTCCAAGAACTGATCCCTGAGGAACCCCAGTGACCAGTTGATGTGATTTGGATACCTCTCCTCCCCAAGCTACCCTGAAGGACCTGTGAGGTAAGACTCACAGTGGAGTGCAGTTCCAGTGATGCCCATCGATGAGAGGGTGAACAGAAGGATTTGATGATTAACATTGCCGAATGCAGCAGATAGATCTAGCAGAATGAGAACTGAAGATTGGCTCTTGCACTCCATAGCACTTCAGTGACTGACAGCAAGGCGGTTTCATTTCAATGGCCACTTTTAAATCCTCTGCAGTAATAATGCTCCCTCCGGAGATAAAGTTGTCTGGTCTAAATCAGGTGAGAAATCTGCACAGATCAAGCACCGTTTACAAGCCAAAACAGCTCTAAACAAACATGTGTGTCGATTTTGATGCGAGAGACAACAGGAGATGGATTTTGTCACTGGAAGAAGAATTATTATGGACTCGTATTTTAGCCGGAAACAATGGTTTGAAGTAAAAAATGTTCTTGATGGATTTGTTTATTACAAACACACAGCTTTTGGCTTCTCAAGAAGTTAATTGATGGACTGGAGTGGTGTGGATTACTTGTGGATTACTGTGATGTTTTTATCAGCTGTTTGGACTCTCATTCTGACATTTCTACATTTCTCCAAATCTGATGAAGAAACAAACTCAACTACATCTAGGATGGCCTGAGAGTGAGCACATTTTCAGCAATTGTTAATTTTCAGATAATCCATTCCTTAAAAAATTAAAATTAATATACTGTATGTGCATATTATAAATCGCAGAGTAATGAATCTGTTTGTCACACAAAACTATTGCATGCTTTCAAATGACTTGGAGCCATTTATGATGCTTTTTTAATGCTTATTTGTATGTGTGTGTGCGCACATTATCTCCCAGTCTTTGTTAATGGCAGGCTGTTCTGCTCATCAGCATTCATGTCTTCTCGCTCAGTTTCATCAGTGTGAAACATGACCCTGGCCGACAGGTCTCTGCGTGTGTGTGACAGGTGCTCTTATCAGGACGTGGATGGTGTAATAGGTCTCGACCTCAGCCATAAATCCACATTCTTGTCCTCCACCTCACGCCATTAACACATCGGCTAATTAAAGCTTGTGCTCCTCTGCTTCACTTCAAGTGCTTTTATAGTGAAGAGTGAAACCTGATTTTATAGTGTGTGTGTGTGATGAATGTATGAATGAAGCAGGTAATGTTTGTGTCTCCTCTTGCTCTGTAGATCTGGGATACGGCAGGACAGGAGCGATTCAGGAGCGTGACGCATGCCTACTACCGAGACGCTCACGGTGAGTTGCATTGTACTGCAAAAATAATTTTCTTTATCAAAAAAGTTACATAAATAGAGCAAAAAAGTGAGGTTGAAGAAAAAATAAGAAAAGAAGAAAAAAAGAGTAAAAAACAAGAAAAATGAATTGCCTTGCAAATGGAGTTAATTGTAATGTCTTCATTATATTTTTAATGGAAAATGAGACAAAAAAATAGATTAAGAAAGTAGGATTTTTTTTTTTGTGGTGTTAAAGTTACAATCAAATTCTGAGTAGTAATTGCAATGCTATAATTGGTCTCTGATATTGGAAATGGTTTGCCAGTGTTTTTTGCTAAGACGTATTTGATGCTTTTATTAATAGAATTCTAAAAATGGCACATCCAAGCCGTTTGTCACTCTATTTCTCCTGCACTTTATCGTTCTCTTCCAGACTTAAATGCACATTGTTGTATATATCAAATTTGTTAATATTTTTCTTTAGACATTAAGTGGCGACCCAACACAGCAGATTATTGTACAATTAAAATCATGTTACCATGAACTGCACAGGCCTAACAAAAACTGACATGTTTATAACTGAATAGGAATGAATATGAAAATATACATTTTGTAAATGCACAAACAGCAGCAGAAAGTGATTTACTCATAAACCAATTTTTGATGTAGTCTGAGTCATTTTTTTTATTTTGTGTATTTGTGTTTGTTTTTACACGCTAATGTTTGAATATTAAACTCAGCTTAAACTCACTTCATTTTGGATTTATTTATTTTTCAGAAAACAAGACTTAATAAGTTAAGTAATTTTGCTTCTCAATTAAATGCATCTTGGTTTAAGAATGTTTAGATATTTTTACTGGGGAAAAAAAACAAGACAAAAATACTTAGTAAGCAAATCATTTTTGCAGTGAACCCATTGTTGATGTAATCTGAATCATATTTTCTTTTATCTCATGTAGTTTTGTTTTGAACTGAATAGCAATAAGAAAATATAAATTTTGCAAATGCATAAACATCAGCAGGAGTGCGATTTACCCTTGAATCCTTTTTGATGTAGTGTGCGTCATATTTTCTTTTATGTTGTGTACTTTTGTTTGTTTGTCTTATTTGGATGCTTCTGCAAAGATGTCAGATGAATTTGTGCTAAAATACTTTCTGATTGCACCATTTGATGTTAACAACAAAAGAAATGGGAAGCGTTTTTCTAATACCTATTTATTTTGCCATCCTAACTGCGCATGATTATATGGTTAGCAGCATTTCATCAATTACATTCAGCATTTTTTGTCTGCTTTCAGAGCAGACCTCGCAACCCACCAGTTGAGATTCACTCATATGTGACTACCAAATTTCTCTCACATTTCCCATGTCATAAACATGATCTCCTGCCAAAACAACAACAGCGTAATCCAAAGGAAGAAACAATGCTTTTATTTTAAGGTTTTTCTCACTCATAGAAAACCATTATAGAGAAATGTTACGAACATTGCATTAATATCCTGGTTTCATTAACTTGCATGTAGATGGATAGTGGGGCTATGCATGAAGTTCAAAGTTTTTTTTTTCTTATAATGGTTTTCTATGGAAGAGAAAATGGCTATAAAAGTTTTGTTATTGCTGTGTCTTGTTGTTTCGGCAGTAGATAATGTTTATGACATGAAAAATGAGAGAGAAATTCAGTTCTTGGTCATTGTTTTAGAACATTAAACCACTTTAAGTGTTTTAGTGTTACTTTTCTTGCAATTTTATTCTCTTAAGACTTATAAGAGTTTGACTTTTACTCCCTTAAGTTTGAATTCTGTAATGATATGACTTTCTTCTTGAAATTGTTCTTTTTTTATTGGCACACAGCACTAAAAAGCCATCGTAGTACTAAACTCGTAATAGTAATTTAATTTCAGATCATTTAAGATGCTGTGAAGATCACTTTATACTGAACCTTTTGTGTAGCCAACAGAAAACATGATGCAAAATGGTGTTTATGTGCAAATTTTGTAGTAAAGCACACCGAAGACATGTTTGGCGCAGTGTTATTAACTAAAACTGAAACTAAAAAAAAAACCATTAAAAAATTATTATTATTTAATTTATTATTATTTATTTCAGCTAGTTGTCAAAGCAACATTCGTAGTACTAAACTCGTAATAGTAATTTCATTTCAGATCATTTAAGATGCTGTGAAGATCACTTTATACTGAACCTTTTGTTTGGCGCAGTGTTATTAACTAAGACTGAAACAAAAAAAAAACAAAAAAAAATGAATGTTGTCTGAAAAAAAAATGAAATAGGCCTATATATTTTTATTTAATAAAAAGTAATGTTTTAAATATAACGTTTTGAATACTGAAAGATGATTTAAATGATATTATGAAACTAAATCCTGAGTCATTGATTGATTCATTCAACTGATTTGTTCAAAACAGTGTTATTTTAGTTACTATTATTGTTTTTATTAAGATTTGAAGTTTAATTTTAATATTTTATTTTTGTTATCCATTTTAATTTTATTTTAAGTTGTAGCAATTCTTTTGTCATTTTTATTTGTTTTTTATGTCTATATATTTTTAATGATTTTTTTGTTGTTGTCTTAGTTTAATTTAGCCTGAATATCTCTTCAAGATTTCTTATATATTGTACCAAACATACACCTTAGGAGAGATGCACCACTGAATTAAAATTATGTAAGCTGGCTTTTGTGCTCCGTTTCAGCCTACCTGGAACAGAAAGAGCCACTTAGATCTGCAGTGAAATGCTATTGGTTGTGACCCTGGACCACAAAACCAGTCTTGAGTGTCAATTTTTCCAAATTGAGATTTATGCATCACCTGAAAGCTGAATAAATGAGCTTTCATTGATGTATGGTTTGTTAGGATAGGATAATATTTGAGATACAACTATTTGAAAATCTGGTGAAATGCTATTGGTTTGAAGTACCGACCATCTAAAGCAAAACCAAACGACAGATCGTTATAACAAAATCCGTGTTCTTGTATGCAGAGTAGCTGTTTTGCGTTTCCGCAGTAGCTTTTGAGTTTCAAGACTGTTTTAGTGCATTGTTAATTTTTCTGTTTTTAACGCATTACTACTAAAGCTTTCTGAGAGCCGCCCACACCAGCCCACGCTCTTACACTTCAAACAAGACCGATTGGATCATAAAGAGCAGCTATTATGACTCTTTTAAATGAGGTTCTGATGCACGTACACACACTCGACACCCTTTCACCGCACATTTCCAGCAGGGAGTGATTGACGTTTAAATTGATGCAGAGCGATGCCATAATGCACGCTTTTTGCGGCCGACCTTTTTCCCCTCGTGAACCTGTCACATGCAAACGGTCCTAACCTCACACGCCGTGCGCATACAGCTCCTCAAATCACATCCCAGAGAGTCACCTTAGACATCAAGGCTGGTGGAGCTGCTGCTGTCCTGCATGTGTGGAGCTTTATTAGGGTGCATGTGAGTCTGAGCAGCTCTACTGTACTCCTGACGCCCACAGACTGCCTCTCCCATCTGTGCCGTGCCTGTGTGCCATCAGCTCACCGAGAGACATGGCACTGCACCACAGATCACATCAAATATGAGAACTGGGAGATGGGTGCGTTTGAATGTTGCTCAGATGATTCATATTTCATCCCGGTGCTCTTCTGTGAGTTTTTAGCATCAAAAATGGAGCTTAGTATCACAATGTCTTCAGAAATGCAATTGCGGCGTTATATAGGTTGTTTGAGCATGTACTATGGTATTCTTTGAAAGTACCATAGCATATGAATACAGTTCCATTATACAGTGTGTATATATATATATATATATATATATATATATATATATATGGCTACGATTAATCGCGATTAATCGCATCCAAAATAAAAGTGTTTGTTTATATAATATATGTGTGTGCACTGTGTATATTTATTATGTATATATAAAGACAGACA